TATTTGGCTCCAAAATTATGCGATTTTCTGTAAACATATTCATTGTTTTTGTCAATTTTACTTATAGCACATTTTAGTATTTTTGCTCTTATGATAAAAAAAATTTACTAGTATATAAAAACTAAATAATTGAAAAATTATAAAATTGATTTTTACCCTGCACCATATTGGTTAGTATTATATGTAATAATTCGCTGCTCAATTTGTTGAAGCTGCTTTCCCTCCGTGTTAACAATGAGCACAATAAAAAAATTCAGAACTGTGTCCGCAGCACGCGCACCGACCGTTTTGAGGAAGTTGGTGACCAAACGAGGCGCGACCAGCGTTTTCGCATTCAGCACTCTTTCGGCAATAATAATTCAACCTAAATTTGGGGATAACGTGACTATTATTCAAACTAGAAAAGCACCAGGCCCCGAAACGGAGCCAATAGTCGAGCACCTGCATACAGATGACCCGCGGTCAGTTATGTTGCGGTTTGGCACGTATACAAAATTCATTATATTTTTTTTCAACTCCGCTCGAACCTGTTCATTCGAAGAGAGAAAGAAGGAAAGCTTTAATACAAAGCAGGACAAAAAATTATTCAAATTAATGCCTCTTCTGCGGATAGTCAATCAGAAGTCGCTTCACGCGTTGGCCACGTTATTAACATGCAACTTTTATACACACTTTGCACCGCCATACATTAATAAAATAATTTTTTTCCTATGCGATCCACGGCGTCCGGCGGCACAAATGAAATCAAGCGTGTGCGTGCTGCGCTTCTAACGCTCATTGTACTTAAGAGGTGTAATTATTTTTTTATTTAGAAAGTGCTGCGCAACTGCGTGCCGTAATGTAATTATTGCACACATTTTATTATTGTGCGAGGCGTGATTTAATTCAAACTAGCCGCCGTCACACGAATGCTTTTCAGAATCTTAATTTACGTTTCACATTATTTAGTTATAATAAAGGCGCATTCCAAATGCGGAGTGTTTATTCATCTCGAGTATAATTAATATGCAAGTTTTGCAGAGTAACAGTGTAATTATCTTTATTAATTTTTAATTTAATTTTTATTTTCTCTTTTCAATCACTGCTTTATCATTAATTGTAGTTATTGCAAGTTAAGCTAAAAGAAGTAAAAGACATGACGATCGACGCTCCGAATTCAAATGTTTGCCAACGAACACGAAGGTATGTAAAATTAAACAGTGTTGGATTTACATAAGTTTTTTTTAGTGCTATATTGATTTTATTTCTATTTAATAAAGTGATAGAATCCTGAATATTGTATGCATAAAAAGTTCTTAAATGCTCTTTTACAATAAAATAAAATAAATTATCATTTAATAAATTTATTATTATATCCCTAAATATAATAATAAAAAACATAAAAATAAAATTAATACTTTTTTAAATAAACTTAACATCTAATTTTATAGCTTAAGTAATATCCCATCAAACTATGACTGAACTTCAAACGTTATCCTTTCCAATTTTAAATGCTTATGAGCTTATGAGCACATTTTCAATTCATTGAATAAATTCAAATATTAATTTCGTTGATCAAGAAATCAGTAGCAGTATAATCGAGACTTCTCAAGGTCTACAGTAACACGCGTGTTAAAGTGAAAGACTGGTTGTTAGAAGGGTCGTTTAAACCATTAATGTATATATGAAAAGTTGTTTTTATGGGTTTTCTACTTGTCAAAAATGTTTTAGTGAATGCGCGCAAAAAAACCAACATCTCTCGGCCACGACAGGCTTCAAATACACACACACAGCGACCAGGCGTGTGTTTATAACTTTCGAGCTCTGGCAAAAACACATCAGAGAGAGAAATCATCTTTGAGAAACAACTTTGCTCAACCCCGGCGAATAATTACTTTTTTGCACGCCTTTCCCGAAAATTTCACGACCGCGATCGATAAATCTGTTTTTGTACAAACTGCACTCGCGTTTTTTCACCTTCTTTTAAGTTCAAAAGCGGCGCGGCGCGTTTTTTAATTAAAAGCGGCGCGAGCGAAACTCGCTGTTAATAGGGCCGCGCACACGGCGAGCTGGTCTAATTTAGAAAGGCGCTTTGGCTGCCGCCGCGTTGTGTTTTGTTATTTCTCAAATAAGTGAGAAGGCACCGATGACAGAAATATCCTACACTCCTTGACGTTTGTCATCATTGGCAGAATAACTACATTTCTCTCGCTTTCAAAGCATACCAGCGCTATTATTATAACCAGCGCCAAACGCCAAGTGGCGTACAGAGGGCGGCCGACGCGCAACAAAGTGCTCCATTGTAAAGGATACACACTTTACATTTTATCCTCTCGTCCGAAGAATAATTAGACTTGCTCCGAGAAGTGTACAGAATATTATGATGTCGGAGAGAAAGAGAAGAAGAAAAGGGCGCCGCGCAGCTTCTCATCTCCGTCGTCGGTTTTTGTTTTTGCCTAATAACTAGTGCCAAAAATAATTCTGGAGTAGACACAAAAATGAAATATCGCTGCTAGGATTTTTTGTTTCTCGCTAGAAGACTCACTTTCGTTTCAAATTAGGCCGAGCAAAAAATGACTGGTGTGCCTGCCTCTTAATTGCCTCTTTGACTGAGCTGAAAACTTTCCTCTCAATTGAAGCGAAGTAATTTTAATTTTTAGTTAAAAGTAAAATCTAATTTACAAGCTGTAAAAAATACTGTTCATAAAAAACACTGGATTATTATAAGATTTTTATTAAATAATATTATGCAAGCCTAAAAGCAAAATGAAAAATGTGATTGATGATTGGTCATGTCTGTGTTTTGAATTTGCTCGTTTTTCTTATTTAGAGAAAAAATTTGGTCTTCCATCGTTTGTCACGAAATTTATTTAGTTTGAAGCTGCTATAACTTTAAGTTTGCTTTAATAAATTCTAGATTCTTGAAGAAAGTTAAACTAGATAAACATTGAAAATATTTTATATTCAATGTTCATTTGTTAATTAAAGAAATAAGTATTTAAAAATTATACGTATTTATTCCAGAATATTGTAAATAATTTTTATAATCTATTTCAAATGCATCCCCTTATTTTTCTAGAATTGCAATACTATATGTTCAAATCCGAGGACTATATCGATCTATCAAAGTCTAGGATTGGAAGCAACCAGAAATTATTCTCGATTTGTGCCTAAACTGAGGCCGGAAGTGTCATCAAATCTTGTGCAATCGAGGAAGCGCGTCAAATTGATTTGCAGCTAATTTCCTATTTGAAGGCACCTCCGCAGCCCCGAGCACCGTCATAGGGTCCTTTTGCTCTTTCTCTGCAGCTTCTGTATATAACATGCTCTTATCTGATCTAATATCTATCGGGGGCCCGCAGCAGCAGCACCGACGGAATTCTCGCGCCAGCAGAGAAATTCCGAATCCCAGTAAGAAATTCAGATCGACTCGGTAGCGCACCCCATCAACCTTTGAAACTGAAGCGAAACCACAAGAATTTGTTTGATCATCATTCCGCGCGCGCCTCCTCGCATATATTTGCCTCTCGGTAACTTGAATGCTTGATGAGCTCTTTTTCCTATAAATTAAGCTGCGGGTCATGCGGAGCTTAATGAAAAATAATTATAATTTTGTAAAAAGTTTGCGGTGCTTACCAATTTTGTTAAGATTAAGAAAATCGAATGTATTTATATTTTATTTTTGTTTCAATGTCTTCAAAAAAGTTCCTGCTGTTGTAATTTTCACCGTTGGCAAAAAATTTAAATTACACACCTTAATTCCTGACTATGTCTCAATAATATTGCTGAATTTAATAGCATCTAACATGCCATTATCGTTTTGCAATTTTTTTCCAGGGGGATGTAAAACAATTTTAAGGTGAATTTTTAGTGTCTGAACACTCTGAAAATTATAGTTTAATCTTGATAAATTTTTTTAGTTAAAAGATTTAAAATTATCGCTTATCGCTTCTAAGCAAGTTTGGCATAAATTTTTCAAATTAAATTAATTTATGTTTTTCCGAAATTGTCTTAGATTAAAACAATTAAAAATTATATTCAATTGAGGTAATGCATAAATTTATTAATATACAAAGGTGATTAATTTAATTATTCTTAGATATCTGAATATATGGTCTTGATATGATCGATGCTCATGCTCATCATGTTTAATAGGTTAATTGATATGCAATTAATTTTTTTTTGTAGCATAATATTCTTTATTGAAATATGATATAACATATAAGATCAAAATTAATGCACAATAGTCTTTTCAAAACTCTCAGAAAAATCAATCCTTCACAATTATTGTTAAATTCATTTATCAGAATTTATCTTGACAATAGCTTATATAAAAAGTTATGTTTAATTAATCTTCTAATGCACAGTTAGTAATCATTAATAAAAACATTTTAATACATCATAAATTGTTATTAATTCTTTAAATATTAATTTAATATAAAAATATTTAAAATACTCAATTTAAATTTATTTTTAATTTTACCTAGTATTAAAATACCATGTAAAATTTTTGTTAGCTGGCTTTAATTTATTTCTTTGTTGTATAACATTATCTAAGATAAAAGGCTGTGGCGCGACCTTGACTGAGTGGCCTGTATTTCTCTCTTTTCGGGGGAGAAACGCGAAGGCATCCCCGAGATACAGATGCGGCGCGCGGCCGCTTTTCTTTTCAAGCGGCTGCAGACGGAACGTGATGTGCCACCCTCGCGAGTGCAGACACGTCTGCCGGGGCGGGCGGGCGTTCATCCCCCGGCCAGTCAAGGCAGAAAAAATTGAGACAGGTTGAAATGCCATCTACCCTTGGCGAGCGGTATCTTGGGGTGCGCGCGGCTGGTGGGGGGCCGCGCGGAAAGAAAGATCATCCCCTTCTGCTGCAGCTGGGAACTATTGAATTGATGAGGAGAGCGAGAGAAGGATTTGATCTGGGGGGATGAACGAGTTATAAGATGCTGGGCCGCGATCGAGTCGGCTGGCGCTGCTGTACGGAGTAAAGTGCCTCCTTTCGCTGCGCGCACAGCCCGTTCATTACAGAAGTGGGGATACCGGAGAGGTTCAACTCGTTGTTTCAAATTAGTGTGGCACTCGCGGTCTAGCGGCGCACAACACACCCCTGGCTCGCTCTCGCTGCCTGTCTGCCTCCACACACACACATACACACACACTCACCTACCGGCTGCCCAAAATCTCTTCACCGGACTCTGGACGTGGACTTCAGTTTTGGCGCCACCAGTGTGATTTCTCGGTGCAGTGACAAAGTGTCGGAACGGCCGATTTTGACCAAGTGTGAGCCCGCGAGTGCCTGAAAGTGGATTTTCTCTCTTGACTTCTCACACCGACGAATTTCTATTAAATTTATTTTGCGTGTTCGAAATTCCATTCCTGATTGGTGAGTACTTACAGATTTTTCTTACCGTTGTTTATTCAAATTTTTATCAAATTAAAATTAAAAGTTGAAAAAAAAAATTTGGATGAAACCGTCAAAATAATAATAAAAAAAAATCATGCAGAGGGACTTATTGTTGAATTTTAAAATATTTTTTTGTATTTTTTTTTTTAATTTTATTACTTTATTCATAAATTTATTTATTATGATTATGAATTTAATTAAATGCTGATAAAATGATGAAATTACGCGTTGAATCATGCTTGGGTTTATTTATCGTCCGCGTCAAGCCGAATCGCATTATTTTGCGCGTAATTATGCAAATGGTGTTCATCATTTATCAAGTCACGAGACGCCAAACTCGTATATTATAAATAATGCAGTAAATATCGTTAAGTGCAAATCTGCCGATTTTGCAATGTTCAGCCAATATCATCTAAAAGTCTTCTCATGAATCTACAACTTTTCTACTCCCAAAGTGGCGGTTGTAATAAACTTCACAAGTTCCTAGAATGACAATAAAAGTACTTTGCTTTTTTTAATACTTTCCGTTCGTCTGCGTACGTATAATAAAAAGTCCAAAGTGACAAAAAAAAATGTGCTCACTTTGAAAGAACATTTTATCCGTCTAAACTCCTTTGACTCTTTTTTGCACTAATTTTTCACATTTCCTTTATTGAAATATATATAATTTTGCGATCTTATAGAAGCGGCGACAATAAATTGACAAGTCTTTGTCCGCCCAACTCCATTATTGCTCTTTGGAATAAATTTTCAGAGCTTGCAGCTAGTTCTGAATATTGCCCCATGCATCTAAAGGATATCCTTATTACTGGCTATGTGCGCCGCCGCCGCTGCAAAGTTTTCCAAAAGTTTGCAGCAGCCGCCAGTATTATAAGCAAATTACACACACATACATCTGAACTATACAGAAAGGGGTTTCGGGTCCGGTCGAGTTTTCTACCCAGAATGTGCAAATATGGCGGAAATTTATGGCCCCCCCAACAAATTTACAACAGCGATTGAATTTCGGCGCAAACTTCGGTGTCCGGGGGAGCAAGTTAAAAGTTCACGGGGCGCAAAAAGTGACCTTTATGGATTGCGTTTTCATTGTTCGCCGACTCTATGTGCATGTATAACTTTGGCAAATTTTCCCTCTCCGGCTTCATTATAAAATTTTTGAGAGCGTCACGACGACGACGAACGAGAAGTTGCAAAATGAAATGAGATGAGCGCGGGACATAAAAAGTGGGAATAAATTGTCTAAAGATGCGAGAGCAAGGCGCTGCTCCGCCGAGTAATAATGCCTTTGTAACTACACATAAAACTTTTTAGTAGTCAGCCGAGTACAATACGTGCAAATGGTAAGAATTTATTGCTCTAGCAGGGAATTTTTCGCGAAAATACTTCAAATTCCAGCGTGTTACTGCATAAAAAGAGCCGGAATTCGGGGCGCACAAGGGGCAAAATAATGAGAAAAATTCTGTGTCCTACGAAAGAATGCCGCGTGCTCTGCCTCTTTGCAACTGTTTTTACAACCCCTTCTTAAGGGTATCATAATAAAAGCGGGGCAAAATGCGAATCCGAGCCACATAAAATTGCACACTGGGGCAAATTCTAATTTTTTGGCAGCAAATTTTACGATCGAGAGCATGATTTTTATTATTCGGCGAAAATAATAGTGGCGGAAAGCACTGGATTTATTTGCCCGGAGAATAATAATCAAATGCAGAGGTTTACAGCTATCCTCTTAATTTTACGCTGTTTTGGAATTTTGGATTAAATCCAGAGCCGATATTGAGCTAACACACACCTCTCCGCCGATTTAATCATCTTTTCTCACCGCGTATAAATTACAAGGGGCCCCGAGCGACCCGAGCAGCGCATTTTTTCGATAAAATCGACATGAACTAAATTAAAAACGAAGACGAAAATGCTGCAAGTAATTGATTTTTCATCGCTATCGAGATTTATACAAGAGAAAATTGTGGTTTAACGAAAATTGGGAGCACATCTCGATTTTTTGTTATCAATTTTTATTGAGAAAAAAACACACCAGGCCACCCAACTCGCTTTTTATTAACTTTTTCCACGTAGCAGAGAAATGCGGAAAAGAGGTTTGACTGTGGAAAACGCACGATTTATTTTCATTTCTGTAATCCGGATATCTGGCTGGGGGCATATCATCGGCGCGCTGGAATTGCTTGTTATATTGCGACGAGAAAGAAGAGCGAGCGCGGAACGAAAAATTAAGTTCGGGAGGAAACATAAAAGCAGGAAGACGGCGGAGCGCTCGTTCGCGCCAGCCAATCCGCACCGCCGCGTCGTCCTGCTGCTCTCAATTAAAAATCACCATTGGATAATAATTAAAAAAAAATTATAAAAAATATAAATATGATCGTTTACAATTTTAACAAAAATACAAATTGACATATTTATTCTATTTCATCAGATATTTTTTTTAAAAGAATTTATTGATATTTTCCCTTACTTTTTAATTGGTTCATTTAAAAGATAATAAAACTTATACTTTTTCTTTAATATCATAAATGATGTGTGGTTGAAACGAATCCAACCCGTAAATATAAAATATGAATATCATTTTGTTCTGGTGATATCTGTTTTGTTATTCCTATATTAAAGTATCAATTTTATAATTTTGAACACAAGATCTTTGCTGATTGTGTCATTTTGATTCAAAACATGTGAGACTAAAACAGACTTTTTATGAATTTTTCAAGCAATGATTTTTTTAGATATAAAAGTATTAAAATATTAGTACCGGTGAGAATCTTAATTGAATTTTTTTTGCTTTTGTATTAGTTTTAATTTTTTTTGCAATATTGTAGCTGCTTGTAAGAAGTTAAATTAAATTAATAAATTCATTTCATTTCTGAAAACAAGTCACTTTGGGTAATGATCAATTTTAGAAAAAGGCAAAAAAATGAAAGCTAAATTAAATGATGCTATAATAATTTGCATATCTTTTTTGCTTGAACAATTTACTTTGTCTAGAACTTTTCTATATACCAAAATGTTGAACCTAAAAACTTATTTCAAGAGGGGAAAAAGCATTTAAATTAGACTGAATAAGGAATTGTCTCAATTTTTAATTTTAATTTGTTCTCCGCGAAATGCTTCGGGTTGTACCGAAGCAAAAGTAATCTACCGCATTACGATTATGTGCCGCAGACTCTCAGGCTGAAATCATAATCTGCTTTGCCCCGGCCGTCTCTCTCTCTTGAATCTCGTGCGCGCTCTGGTGAATATGCAATAAGTTATTAAACTCCTCACATGCTGCCCTTCTTCTTACCCGCTCGAGAAGTATTGATCCCCTTCTTTGATGAGAATTGCACACAAACGGCTCCCGGAGCTCCGCTCAAAGATTCATGCTGCGCCGCTAATCACTCCGACACATACATTATGATCGACACATTCGAATGCATACAATGCAATTAGACGGTGCAGCGGCTCATGTATGCAGTCAGTAATCAAGCATTATTATCCAATCGATTTTGCAGCATAGCGACGGCGGCACAGCCAGCCGGCTTTCGGCGGGCGATGGCGCGGCGGCGGGTGCGGTTTCCAGCCCTGATTTGATTTAAAATGCTCGCGAAAATCATTCATGACTGCTTTATGTGACGGATCATTTATTCGCTGCATGTCCAAAGCATAATTACTTTCGGGAGAGAGAGGAATATGGTGCGTCCTGTAATTACCGCAAAATGCTGGTGCGCTGAAATGCAATTATGCTTGTACGCCAGGAATAATTTTGATTGACATGATTAATTTTAACCAAAATTATATAATAGTTTTTTTTTACATAATTTCTTTTCAAAGAGAACTATCCATAATTAAAGCTTGGGGAATTTTTTTTTGTAATTACACTTTCAAACAAATAAAAATAATTAAAAGAGCATCATTAATATTAATTACTTAAATTTTTTTCTCATCAATTGAATTTTTACCACGTTTTTCACTACTTAAATTTATTATCCTGAAAAGCAGTGCCACTTTCAAGCTTTTCATGCTAATCTCTTGTGTCATCAAATCAAAAAAGTGGTCCCGTCGTAATTTATATTTCCGACATGTACAATTTCTTTTGCACGTGGTGTTCAAGATTTACGAAACTGTTCAATTAGCGGGCCTAATTGAACTCTTGACAATATCACGTGGAGAAATTCTCTGAAATTTATGTAGGCAACATTTTCTTTCGCCAGATTAACACAGATCTTTAGAATTCGGAGTGATTACCTCTCGTATTAGGGCCGGGCATTCGTATAAATTGTAAAAAACGAAATATAAATTTATGGACGGTCGTTACACACGGCGAGCAACTTTTCAGATTTGAAATTCCGCGTGCGAGATAAATTATTTATCGCCATCCGTTGGCACAGATATTAAATTCTAAATCGATAAGTAGTAGTTTTTGCCTCGCATGTCCCGCCTCCGAGAGTGCATTTCTCATAAATCAGTGAATCCGCTTCTATTGCTTTTAGTTAAGATCACAATTTCAGATTAAACGCAAGTACGTTTATAAGCATCGTCCGGCGAGGAAATATTTGCGAGCATAGGACACACATTTGCATCGGACCGGTTTTCATCCGATCGCCCCGGCTGACCGGCCCTCTCTTTTTATACATTTAGTCTGTATGTGGCTCTTAGCATATTAGAGCGAGAAAAAAAATACAATCATGGCCCACTTTTGACTCTTTTTTACATACCTTGAGAGTCTAAGTTGGCGGGCGGGCCATATACATTTTATTCAGATGGATGCTGTGTCGCCGTTTGCACAGAAAAAAAAATAATTCAGGCACACAAAGGGGAAAAAGACTTTCTTCCCTTTATATTTTTGCATTTATGCTGCAGCAGCAGACGCCGCTGCCTTTGAGTTTGAAAAAGCGACACTGCTGCATTGATGCAAGAAAATGGAATGAAGAGCATTTTTAAATATGTACCCTTTTTGAAGGAGAAAGCGGAGACTACTCTTGCTCTATACCTGC